CCATATTACTACAAAATGATGATATGAGTTACATGCGTAGGAAGTGACAAAACAAACTTTTATTTTGTATGTTGCTGGAGAATCATAATGTATAAAGCTGATGGTCAGTTTCGTATCGCGTTCACTTGGAAAAGTGACATCATCGTATAAAGTAACTGTGTAATGTCCGTATGAGGTGGCTGCTGTGCGGGCCACATTACAAGGTCCGGCGGGCCGGATTCGGCCTGCGGGCCTTGTGTTTGCCACCCCTGCCTTAGAACCATTTATTCCATGGAAAATGGAAACATATTTACAGCGAACTAAAAGATCTACACTCATTCCTGCAGTAGCTTTGGAAGTGGAATTAATATATTCAGCATCTGGCCTAAAGCCTAGAGATGAAATTAGGATGATGTACTTTTATATGAAGACAAGTGAACTGATTCATGGAAAAAAGTACTCACCCAGGAAATAAATGCACTCAGTGTGGATATCTATGAGCATATTTCATGCCAAATGTTTGCACCATATTTAGTTCCTGGTAAACAATAGTGGATTTTCTCTTGCATACGTAGCCAGTGTGCGGGTCCATTCACGCCAGACATGTTGGAGCTGATTGGTGTAGTCCCAACACACAGACAAGTCAATTTGCCTTGTTGTTTTGTATAGACACAGAACTGAACTGAACTGAAACTGAACTGAAAAGGGTGCTTTGTGCTATACTTTTTTCATCGCAACGTGGTGTGACCTGGTATAACTGCATTACACTGTGCTGTGCCAACAGAATTTCATGGAATGTCACTTGTGACATTTCATTAAAGTTCTAACATAAAAAAAGCAAACAGTGTGATTCTCTAAACTTGGAACTGAAGTGATGCACCGCGCTAAAACCTACCTAGAACCATAAATGATATGTGCAACTCCTAAAATGCATATATTACCACCCAAAAAAACCTTATGATCTTCTAATAAAAATCCCAACATAATTAAAGATACTTAATATTAGGGATTTACCGAAATTTCGGCTGCCGAAACATATCGACCGAAATTGGCACTTTTGGCAAAATAGGTTTTTAAAAAATTAGTTTTGGTTTTGACCTGACATTTTTTTATTTTCGGTTTAAATTTTCATTTCGGTGCACCTTTACTTAATATACTTATAAACTATATAATGTGTGGTTCCCCCAGTGTATCCACCATACAGTGTAAAATACTTGACATTTAACACTCTAAAACTCACTCCTTGTACATAACAATAAACGTTTTTTTAAATCTCCCTATACTGTGATGTGAATCTTATGCTCCACTCCAAATCAAGACAGGTGCTTCTCGGTGTTAATCTCAGGTGTCTCTATTCAATAATGCGCTTACTGGAATTTTTAGACCACTGTTAAATGGTCGATGGCTACTTCATCCACAAAACGATATCTCTTATAGCTTATTCATATCCTATAGAGGAAAAGATAGACGCCACATAGTGTAAAATCCTCATAAACCTTACTCTTAAAATCTTTCAAAACACTTACATTAAAATTCGATATACAGCACTGTACATGGACAAAGCCAGACTTTCCATACGATACTCTCCGGTCAGTGATAGTCCGTTCCTAACGCTCACCTCTCTAACTGGAACAAACTTCCCAAGTTCAGACGTGATAACGTCAGCGCGTAAAGGAGTAGCTGACGTCTGATCTTGGGAATTGCTACGACGGTTACCTCTGATATCGGAATTTCTGGTCAGAGGGAGATTTCCTCTGTCCGGGAGTGCCACGAGGGAACATGGAGCCAGCTTCCCACCCAATCAGGAAACCGGCCCGCGGGTAATCACTCACTGAACGGCTTCCCGGCCAATCAGGAAGCCGTTCAGTGAGTGATTACCCGCGGGCCGACCTGTTTGATTCCCAGCCAGTCAGCATGGAGCTGGCCAAACAGCATGCAGCCAGCTTCCCGGGCAATCAAGAAGCCGGGCGGTGGGTAATGGCACGGCTTCCTGATTGCCCAAGAAGCCGACTCCATGCTAGAAGAAGTACCGGTATCGGTACTCTGTAACGGCGAGTACTGAAAGATAAATATCGGTACTCTTACTCAATAGCAAAAAAACGGTATCGGTGCATCCCTATTTTCTAGTATCGGATAGAGTGGGGAAGGATTAAAGCTCCTGTCAGGTTTTTACGGCTAGTCAGGCCTCCAAATGAATCTTCAGGCTTAACCAGCTAAATACATTCCAGGTGCATCACAACAAAAAGCGTTCAAAGTCTTAAGCTGGCCACAGACCTTACAACCATCGCAAGACTTTTGTCTTGCGATGGTTGTAAGGTAATTAAAAAAACTTACGATCTGCCTATCTTGGACAGGCAGATCGTATTTCGGGCTTCCGATGACCACAATGTTGAACGGGCAGTGCGCGCCTGCGCACACTGGCCCGTGCGGCATTTATCTTACGAACATGGCACAGTAGAAACGGTCGCACACCTTCCACACACCTTGCGATAATCATACGATCGTACGATTATTGCAAGGTGCGTGGGCACCTTTACGGTTCATTTTCTTTTTTAAAGCAGCCACAGCCTGAGTAGAAAAGCCTGTCCCCTGCCAGGAGCTACAGAGTCGGACTTTTGCTCTCTTTGTGTCATTAGTCATTAGTGTCATTGCAATAGTCTATAGATTTTGATGTACCAGCAATGTATTATCTAATTTAAACAGGGTTGTACAAAAAAAAATAATCTGTCAGGGGTTCTAGTCTTCTCCTACTCTACAAAAAAAAGTTTTTAATTTTTGTCTTTGCTCCAGTTGGAGAGTTCACCTTACTTCTTTTCTGTTTAAATATTGTCTGCAGGACAGGGAGTGAGGATAAATCTCTCCATTGGAGCTCCAGATAGCAATAAAACCTGATCTATACAAAACTAAAAAAAAAGAATTGTTTGGCCATGATGTCATCTATGTCATTAAAATTTCCTGTGATTTACAGCAGCCATCTTTAGGCCTCGTTCCCAGTAGTTGCAGTGACTGGCATTTTTTCACACTGTATTAATGCCAGCCACTGCAAGGCAGGGGTGGGGAACCTCCTGCCCTCCAGCTGTGGTGAAGCTACAAATCCCACGAGGCATTGCAAGATTCTCACAGCCACAGGCATCATGGGATTCGTAGTTTCACCACAGCTGGAGGGCCGGAGGTTCCCCACCCCTGCTGCAAGGGCACACAAAAAAAACAATTGTTATCTATGTGCCCTGTTTACTTCATAATGATAGTGTGTTGTGTGGCGCAGAATAATATAGCCGTCCACACACACAGACTCATCTAATGCCACGTTTGGTTACAATTTTGTATATATTCCTCAATGCTGAATAGTTTCACACTGCAGATCATAATCTTTGAATCCTCACACTATTACGACATGTAAATAAAGCAGTTCAGCAATTTTCATGCTCCAAACAGTCTTGGAATACTGCCATTCATCTGAGCTCATTGAGGTAATTACAAGATGGAAAGTTCACCCTCCAAGAGCATAACGGTTCTTCATATACACAGAAGGACCATGGGGACAAAGGTAGCCACCCTCCAGAAAGTGTCAGCACAAATTCAGAGATGATTGAAGGATCTACAGCTGAGTGATACACAAATTAGATACATTTTTGTCAATGGTTAAAGGAGAACTATGAGGTGAGTGCTTTTCACTCACCTCATAGTTCTAGCCGACCTGTGACAATGAGACTGTCACAGTTCGGCTCAGTAGATCGGGAGGTGAGCGAACACATGCCGGTGTTCGCTCACTTCTCGATCCTGTCACGGCCCTCTGCCGTGACAGGGGAGGGGATGGATTCCCCCCTCCCCGATCCGCCAGCGCTGACTGGCGGAACGGACGGGGGAGGGGCGGGTACAGCTGGCTCTGCCTCTAGATAAGCAGAGCCAGCTGTCACTCACGCATCTGGGCGGATCTTGACATCAATGTCGGGATCCGCTCCGGCTACAGCGTCTCAGTATACCGCGAGCTATAGCCATGTGTGTCTATGTATGTATGTGTGTGTCCTCATAGAGGTATACTGAGCTTAGGGTGACGGGAGGACGATAGTTTGTGTTTGTGTCCTATTTGACCTGTATAGCGCATGTGCAAGTGTTACATCATCACTGAGCCAATGTTTGAAGTGGACTTCCAAGAACCCAAAAGCGTCGGTGATGGAGATGGCGGTATTGGAGTACAGAGCTGGGGACCAAAGATTGTTCCGAAAGCGCTGTTGCTCTCACCCTAAGCATCTCCCACACCACGCCAACACGCTCAACACCTGTGCTTAATCATAGAGGTCATGACATAGACCTCTATGATTAAGCCCAGGTGGTGAAACGCGTGAGTGGGGTTGGCGTGGTGTGGGAGATGCTTAGGTTGATGTGCATGCTGTTCATCGTTCTCTTTGATTTACTTACTTTTTTGGGAATCTGTTTGGGTTATTTCAATAAACGTTAGGATTGCACTCATTCTGGTTTTGTGCGGCTGATCTTTTGAGGATTCGTTTGAATGAGTGGGAAGCACACTATAACCTGCACCCTGAATTTGGACTGATCGCAGCAGAACATAGAATGGAGCATTGAGTCTATGGAGCTTTTTAGAAGCATAACGTTTGTATATACTTCCCAAATAATTTCTCCTACTTTTAAATAACCTAAACAGTTAGGAACCACTATCAGATAGGAGGTCAATGGACAGCACAAGGAATCCCCAGCAACCTCTGTAGGAACCCTGGTAATGAATGGCTGTTCTATAGGATTTTTTATATATGTTATCTTCATACCTCGTGTGCTTGAAGTACACACAAAGCTACATAAGATGGCGTGCTGCACTTTTATGTATAGGAAGTCACAAACAGTGCCTGGAGGTTCACATTTTCCCACATCAAATATGGCGGCCTCCAGAGCCCGGACACTTCCTGCTGTCACCTACGTCACACAGATACAGTCAGCTGACAGTCGCCTGACAGGTAGCGGGGGTGTGGAGACAGGCTGTCAGGGCTGCTCCAGCGCGTGCGCACTGTTTCAGGGATGTGAACTGGAGGACCGGGGGAGGGGAGGAAACATGGCGGCGTCCAGCGACAGTCTGTGAGTCAGGCATAGGCAGACGGTGCAGTGACAGAGGCAAGAGAGGGGGAAGGAGCGACCGTTCCGGGACTAAGACCCCACCTTGCTTGAAGAGGAGGAGGGACCGTGTACTGCTATTTGGGAAGGAGGGAGCCGGGAAGGGGCGGGGACAGAGTCCCGGGTACAACGCGGCTCCCTGCTGTAGTCGTGCTGCTCGCTACTATATGTGCAGGTACATGCCAGTCATGTGTGTCTATGTATGTATGTGTGTGTCCTCATAGAGGGGGCACTGGGTGTGCCAGTCATGACATTCCTGTGTGTGCGCCTTGTGCAGGGAGCTGCTCTTCATTAATAATGACTAGAAGATGGATAGTACTGCTTCATATGACAGTTCCTGGATTTCATACAATGACATCAAATTGAATGAGTTGCATTGGTCTCCTGTCTGCTCATTTACAATTACTTGGGATGTTTGGCTTGTCACATGTGCTGTCTTGTAAATTTAGTATGTCCATATTTGTGTAGAATTATCTAAAAAGCAATATTTCCATTGCTGGACATAGTTTAAAGACTTAGTCCATCTTGTGCAAAAATGTAATAAATACGCCCACATTAAAAGAATGAAAGCATGTTGATGTATTTCATGTTTGTATCGGTGCCTGAAGAGCATTGCAACCATGATCACAGGTGCGGTGCCCAGTCTGCTGCAGACTATACCCCCAGGTCTGTATGGAAGTACACACCTTCTGTTATGGGGCTGGAGGAAGTGATTATTGGACTATAAGTGTGCTGACTGTGCTCCATCGAGATCTAGGAATCATTTTGCTGTGGTGGCAGATGGGACTAAGCCCTGGTTCACACCTGGGAGTTTTTGAGCAGTTTGTAAAGCGCTTTTACCAGCCCAACACAAGAAATCCCATGATTTTTCGATGGCCCCGGTTCACGCCTGAGCAGAAACACGCCTGAAAAGGTACAAGAACTTCTTTGGGCAGTTAAAATTCCCCCATAGACTTTATTGGAAATGCACAAAAACGCGCAACAGAAGCATGTTGTACATTTTTGTGAGCGTTCTTTCATTGCCCACAATGGTTTATGAGCTGCCAATCTTCATGTATGTGCGTTAAAACACACAAACAAATGTGCACAATACGCATAAACGCCCAAATAACCTCATGCTGCTAACGTGCAAAAACTGTGCCGCCTAGGTGTGAACCCAGCCTTATAGTGCACAGATAACTGGTAATGGAAGATGTGGTGGTCCAGGTGGAGCCACCGAAATGAAAACAGAATACCGCGAGGAGTAGGGGGAAAATTCTCAATGTGGTTAAAGCTGGCAGTTCTTGTTGTACCGGATGAAATTCACACAGTGGGTACCGCTGTCGGCACCCTTTCAGCCGGCATCCCTTAATCAGCTGATCAAAGCAGCTGGTAGGTAAACCTTTAAACAGAGCCGGCAGCCAATGACCTGCCAGCTCTGCTGGAATATCCTGATGGCGGCGGCCGCCTGCCAGCTAATGATGACAGCTGGATATTCCTCGATCAACGCTCGTAAGCACTGATGGAGGAATCTGTTATGTTTTCTTTGTTCAGCCTGCAGGTTGAACTAAGAACATATTAGTGTATGGCCAGATTAGGAGTTGGGGGGGGGTCAGCGACCATGTTTCATGTTGCACCCTAAATATGAATTGTGATCTGAAAGATGGAATATACTTTTGATGCGGATCTTCGCCCTTTTAACATTCTATGATTCCTTACCCCCTCCTTTCACACACTCCCAGCCGCCTTCTGGGATACTCGGGTCATGTATTCCAGGAGGCTTCAGAGCAATCTACCAAAAATGCGCTCCTTCTGATAAGCCTGTTGGTTGCTGAGTGTTCAGTACTTTGCCCACCACTGATATCATGCCATAAATACATTGGGACCGGACGTCACTGCGATGTGTTTTACTGAGTTATTCTCAACTGTGAGCAGTCATGTCAATGGAACAGATCAGTTTTCGCAGTAGATGTGCTGGTATAAGGATTGTATATTTACAAATGTTTTACTTTCATTTTGAATACATTGAAGGGAATGTATGAAAACTGGAGCAGATTTGCACTGCAACCATTCAGCTTCTCTGTCTCATTTTCAAATCTTACCTGAGCAAAGTGAAGAGAGATGCTGATTGGTTGCCATGGGCAACTGCTCCAGATTCTGTCTGCTCCCGTTTTGATAAATTAACCCCATCGTGTTCTTAAAGCAGACCTTAAATGGAAATGTGAACACCTTCCACATAAAAAATAAAAAAAAATGGAAGTGAATTATAAAATAGTCATCTTGCACCCCAGCCTGTGACCACTTCCTGTAAGCAGTGGTGATATCATTGAGCCTCACCGTAGGATTGTGGGAAAGCTTCAGATGCCAGAAGAGGCTCCAGCGCTGTGCAGGAGCACATTCTCAAGGAATTTGGGATCCTGAGCTTTTGCAAGATAACACAGGAAGGCCCCATGATTTCACCCGCACATAAGCAAGCCTGCTGCAAGTTGGGATCTAAGGGGGGGTGATGTGATTTTTGATTACTTTCAGTGGAATATTTTTCTTAAAGGAGAACTCTGAGGAAAAATGTATTAACCCTTGCAGTGGGCCTACCTCCACATTGCAAGGGTTAACTGCTCGTTTGTATCTAGGTGCTGAAATGAAGAAGGAAAAAAAAAAAAGTTATCGTTCGAGCAGTTCTTAGACTGGTACCTAAAGCCCCCCACCCCCCTTTCAGTGGTCTAAGAGTCCTTGTGTCATTACATTCTATACAAATGTATAGACGTGAGGAAGCTGAGAAACATTCCATCTGATGACCGGAGAAGAAGGGAGTAGGCTCGGCAGTTCGGGTGAGTATAACTTAGTTTTTGTCTACAAGCTGCAAAAAAAAAAAAAAATTCAGTTAACCCTTACAATGGGGCTACCTCCCTGAAAGGGTACATACAGTGTTTGCCTGGAGTTCTTCTTTAACTATCTGCCGGCCATTGTAAAAAACAGGCAGCCGGGAGCTCTCTAGATCTGAGCGGGCGTCTTTAGACGTCTGCTCAGACACGCCCCCTCGCGTGCACCTCTTGGCGCGCACGAGCGGGAAATGCCCGATATTTAAAAACAGGCAGCGATGCCTGTTAACATACAGGCGATCCGGCGGATCGTTTGTATGGGGTAACGATCGGTGCCCCTCCCCCCGCTGTTGTCACGCTGGTCCCGGGCTCCGCTGTGCCCGGTGCAAGCCCGGGATCAGCATGGTGCCTGTGTCACAGGGGATCAGAGGGAGATCATTACACGAGCTCCCTCCGGTCCCCTCTCCGCTGCAAGAATGCGGAAGTGTTGTATAATACATCACTTCCGCATTCTTGTGTCACTCTCCAGCTTCAGAAGCTGATGGAGCAGATCTGTGCTTCATCAGCTTCTTTTGGGGGGTCCTAGGTGACATTAGCGGTCTTGGAGACCCCTGATGTCTCCATTAAGAGGACCTGTCACATATTTTTGCTATCACATAGGGGGGTTTTATTATCCCCCTATGTGATAGCAATAAAGTTTAGTGAAGAAAAAAAAATTAAGTTTACCCCCCAAAATTTAAGGTTACACATAGAAAAAAAAAACATTTTTTAAAAGTCCCCACTAACACATACACGCATGCAAACATGCGTCGGGGACGCATATGATTGCGCCCATTATGCTGCACATGTTATATATCGCCGCAAACGTCACAGTGAGAGCAATCATGCTAGGGCCGTCAATCACTGATAACACTAAACTGATGAGCGGTAGGCTGTAACGTACTATGCCTGATGGAAGGGAGCCTGTGCGGCCCCCAAAAAGTTATTTGCTTGACAAAATGCCTAAACGTCAATAAAAGCATTTGTGGATTCATGGTGTGCTGGTGACGTTCTTCACTTCTTGGATTTGTGCGGCGTCATCTGCAGAGTCACTTCAGCACCCATTCAGCCAGGGGTATACCAGTCAGTTCCATGCAAAGTCTGCTTTAATAATGACTTCTAAAGTGACATAACCACCTCCTTCATATTTAAATCAAGTCGTACAGACAAAGGGGATAATACAGAATGTACAAAAACGTAAAATGTTGAAGAGTACGTTCAGTCGTATAGTAATAACAAATGCAGATGTAATAGGAGAGAGGCCTTGCCTGCACAAGCTTGCAGAAGAAGTGTTGATGTTTGCTGATACTTTAAAAATAACTATAGACAAACCTTTTCTTTTGGCTATAGTTCTCTTTTGGGTCACAGGATCACATCTACTAATGTCCTCCTGTGACCCAAAATCAGCATATAGCGGGCTACTGCCCACTGTATGCTGACATCGCAGAGCCGTGCTGCCGCTGGGAAAGATCCCGGCAATATTGTCAGGATCCAGCCGGCTGCCTGACTGACAGCGGGCTCTGCCTCTCTAGAGCCAGAGCCAGCTGTGCCCGCCCCCACCCCTGTGTATCCCTCCAATGAGCTCTGGAGGAACAGAGGGGGTGAGGGGAATCCCTGCGGAGAACGTTGACTGATGATCACCACTCTTTGCATGTAGATCAGCTGTTTGTGATCACTCAGTTCTCGAGCTATAGAGCCGACTTGATACACATGCAGTGTCGCACGCTGGCTCAAAGTTGGGAAGAGTATATTTTTACTCTCACAGTACTTCTCCTTTTAAGTAAGGTTTCAGTAATGTAATTATGCCAAATGTCTGTTAAGCAATACAATAATAACAGGGCTGAAATAGTTCTTGCTTGCTTGATAGATCAGAATAGACAGCCCCCACAATCAGAGTATAGACTTGCTTTAATACCCTCCTCCCTAGAAGTACACACTCTCCTTTCTTTCTCTTCTCTGCCACTGGATATACTCTTTACTTTTAGCAGTGAAGGAGCATGTTGGTCACTCCATATATCAGTGCTTTGTCATTGGTTCAGAATTGTCACATTGGGTTGGGGAGAGTACTTGGCGCTGTGTAAGCTCTGAATTGAGTGACCTAGTGGTCATGCAGAGCTGCTTTTCTTTGCTCCTTGTGGCTGCTTCGTTTGGCGATGTGAACTGAAGGATAGGGATGCGCTGATACCGAGTATATGAGCGAGTTTTCGTACTCGCCCAAATGCTCACATACCGGAACTTCCAGTCAGAGGGAGATCTCCCTCTGAGTGGCAGTGCCGAGGGAGAACAGAGCCGGCTTCCTTTCAAATCATGGAGCTGGGCGGTGTGTGTTATGGCCCGT